AGGGTTTTTTGTTTAGGGTTTAGGCTCTGCTCATGGGGCCTTAGAATAGGGTTTCTGGGCATTCTAAACGATAATTCGTGATAGAGAAACCCTCAGGAACAGTATGGGTAACTTTTCAGGCATTTGTTCTTTCTATCCTACTTGCTAGCCAAAAAGGAGGGAGCCTCTGTTTTACTGCTTCAAGTCCATGGTCTGAGTTCGCAGCAAGCCCGCTGCAACAAAGTCATAGATAACAAGCTTAGATCTTGTCTGTAACATCACCTGAAGAGGGCTGCCTGTTGCTGAGGAACTCCTGTCATGGATCCCTGCATCAAACGATGTTGATTAGAGAATCGCGTGCACCAGATAAGCCTGAATAGAAGTGTCTACTTCTATGTTCCCCTGATGTAAGCTGTGCCCGAAAACTCACAAGCCAAAATCCTATCTGATCTTGGGCTTTCATGATTGAGAGGGGACTGCAGTGGCATGTGAAAGTGGATCTATCAAGACTACTGCATTGCACACGCCACAGCTTTCCTTTTTGTAGTGATTAGAAGCGAGTTTCGGGTAGCATTGAATTATTCTAATATACCTATGAATGAGAGTACTTCTGATTATTATTGAGACGCATAGGTTATGACGGCCAAGTCTCGGTTTCTGCTCATAGGTCCAGTCACCTGCCGGTGGCAAATCGGCTCGGGGTTACAATGTACAAGGTTCGACGCTTCACAGACAAGGCTCGGCGTGTGTCATGAGTACTTTCCTACTGTACATTGGGCTCCCTGGTGACCTGCGAAATTCCATCGATGTGAACCCGAACTTCCAGGCAAGGAGGGCTTGTGGCCACCAGCTCTGCTTTCCAATCCCGGCCCGGTGCCTGAATATGGGCCATCTTTCCTGGGAAGCGTCGTCCAATGGTTCAAACCTGGGTGGAGAAAAGGATGAGCTGCTCGAAGCATGGCAAAGCTATATGCGAGAAGAGAACGCGGTGTAACAAGCAAAATAATCACATGACATGATATAGGCTAGCTAGGCCATTGGTGGACAAAACGCATCGTATATTCAAGCAGTACCTAGAGGGTGCATAGCCTGGTATATACTGTCATAGCCGATTGTAACACAGTGAGACACAGTGAGAACGACCTGCGATGGAATACATGTTCGGGCATGCAATACAATGTTGTGTATATACATATATACAGAATAGAAAACCATATCATGCACAAGTGCAAGCCTTGTCCAACATATTGGAGCTCCAGTCGAGTCAGCCACTACGCCAAGGCAAGAGACTGCCAGGAATCCACTCCAACGAGGATCCGCCAAGCCAAGAAGCTACAAAGCCACAACGCCCGGAAGACAGTTCTGTCCACAGGCAGCGAACTCAGAAACCCACGCCAGAGAGCCGAAGAGCCAAAATTACGAACCAGAAGTCAGCCAAACACCCCTACACCTTTGGCTTATGCTTGGACCTCGAGCCTGGGTCTCCCTGGTGTGCCAGGGGTGACACGTCAACCAATCACAAAATCCCAAAGCCAAGAGGCTTCGGAAGTTCGATGCCATCTCAGCAGGCATTAGGTCTACCAGAAGGCTATCTGGGCTGCCGATGACCTCAGTGAAGTCTTGCGTACGGGTTTGAACTGTTCTGTTGCTCGGAGCACTGGGGTTGGAGCTATGAGATGTGTCCCAGAGATTGGGGCTGGCAGATTGCATGGTGCTCTCTGAATGCTGACAAATCCCAGAACTCCCTGCCACGGTTAGCTGCAAATATAATCCCTCCTCCTTTTATTAAACAACCCCCTAATAACAAAAACACATGGGGGCGAATCCTCCCGAAATCATCCCTGCCCTTCAAAACCTGTTATGAATCAGGAGCGGGGGTGGGGGGGTTCGAGACTGCAAATATCTTTCGAGAACAGTACGCTCCAGAGCAAGAGAAAAAGAAAGAGCGGGAGTTAGAGCAAGAGCAGGAGCAAGAGCAAAAGCGGGAGCATCAGCAAGAGCAGCGGCAAGAGCAAAGCAAAAGCGAAAGCAGGAGCAAGAGCAAGAGCAGGAGCAAAAGCGAAGCATCAGCAAGAGCAGGAGGAGGTGCAAGAGACGCAGCAGAAGCAGGAGCAAAAGCCAGAGCGGGTGCAAGAGCCAAAGCAGGAGCAAGAGCACGACCATAAAAATACGCCCTGACAATAAGAACACTTTCCGAATGTGGGGGCCAGCCCATCGCAATTGCTCGACATCGTTGTTGAAACCTTTTCGTTCGTGGTCTCTTCTACAACGGTTTCTTGCGGCCTTCCCCTCCTCAAGCAATCGAACCCACAACAAATTAGCAGCTTGCAGGTAACATCGAGAATCTGAAGAATCTACGGCGCAGGTATTTTAAAAGATGCAATGCAATGTAAACTCAACAAGGACCGTGTGGCATGCTCTCTAAACATGAAGCCGTCAGCTTGATGCGTTGCTGCACGTGCACGATAGACGAAAAATGGCAGAATCAATCCACACACGAAGGAACCCGTCACTGCTTGAAGGATCTAAATACCAAATTCGATAGGAGGCCTCGAGGTGGCCCATAACTTAGACCCCAAGCATCAACAAAAAAGATTGTGCCTCCTAGACGCCCAAAAGAGGCAAGCATTCCAATGGCACATCGCAATGACAAAGGCAAGGACTTTCATGAGCATGATGCTTTGAATGATCGCAATGGAGCCAATTCGCACCTCGATTCTCTCCCAGACAGCTTTCAGCTTCGACATGCGCAGCATCTTCATAAGCCGCATGATTCGCAAGAACTTGAGCATCTTCAGGAGACGAACGGCACCGGCACCACCGTTGTCACCAAAGATGCTTTCTGCCAATCTCCCATATGGCACTGTGCTGAAGAAGTCAATAGAAAACCAACCCTTCAGATACATGCACGCTATTCGCCTGCGGGAAAGGATCCACGTCCCCGGACTGTCCTTCCTTTCAATCGCCGTATTGAATGAAAGCCCTACATCTGCAAAGAAGACAATGGTCGTGATATAGAACCAGACTTCGTCAAAGCCATCATCTGGCATGCCGTACTTGAAGGCCAGCTGAAAAGGCAGAATGATGGAGTCCAGAAGCACCAAAAACATCACAAAGAAGTCCCACGACATCTTGCTTGTCCAGTTTGGGTTCAACAAGTACTTGTCGAACACCTCAGGAGGCGTTGACTTTCTCCCAAGAACAAAAACAGAGCCGGCGAAAAGTCAGGAAGAGCATTAAGACTGCACGTGTCCATATCAAGAGACCCTACCTGACTGCCTGATTCCCTGAACACTTGGCTGGCGAGTACTAATAATAATATCATTACTGTTGTTGTTACCTTTGTTCATAATCATGGTGGTTATTATTGCTATTGTTGTTACTTTCATTGCTTCTTACTGAATGGGCGGCCGAGAAAATGTGCGGCAAGTTAGGCACATCGACAAGTATTCCGATTCCCGACATCTCGAACCCTTCATGCCGCCTGGTTCTGCTCCATCTCATCCAAGTCCGGCATCTTGCTATACGACTGTGTCGGCCGAGCTGACGCTGTTGGGTCATGCTGGCGCCGCTCTGATATAGTGGGCATCACGGCCTGGGCTTGGGGGTTTTTGAACCCTAAACCCTAAACCCTAATTGCTGGGCTCTCAGGACAAACTCGAGCATGCCACAGAGGCCTTAAGGGAGGTTAGAGCTTCCAAAAGGCACCTCTGGAAGCTGCTACGAAATGCCAAACTATTTCAAACCTCAACCGCGTGAGCTGCACCGAAGCGCGCTGCTTTGCCGTTCATGCCAGGTCCATCCTGAAAAACCTAAAGCCAAAGCCTTGTCACTTCAATCTTCAGATCCATAAAATCAAATCCTTGAGACCTACAACCTACGCAGAGTCGCATCCCTTCCTTGCCATCATATCTTAGCCCTGAATATTCCTTCTTCTGCACACTGGAAATTTATAGCTCTTCACCTGCTCTTCACGATTGATGTACCAGCGTCCCGGCAAAGTTTCGTGATCGGGACGACTATGATCCTCATGGTCGCTCTCGTAAGGCCATTCTTTGCCATGACCTTTCAGCCCTGCTGCTGAAAATGGGGGGCTGAATACCAAAAGCCCTAATATAGGGGCCCTAATAATTAGAATAAGCCTTTGGGCCCCAGTATACTATAATTATCATAAGGAACCCCCCCAAAATAGTATAGGCAATTATTTAGGCCCCTACATTAAACCCCAGGCCACGCTCCTTCAGCCCAGCAGCTCCACCACCGTCGAAGAAGTCGGCGGCGACATTATTGCCTAGGTTCCCCAGTAGCCCCTTCAAAATAAGGGGTACCCTTGTTCCTTCTATTTGGTTTTAATTTTTTCCAACCCTTTCATTTGGTTTTAATAGGGGAACCTAAAAAGAAAAAGGGCAAAAGGGTACTGCTGGGGAACCTAGTTGCCGCCGGAAGGGACCGGCACAACCAGGTTGCCCTGGGGCTCCCGCTCTCCTAGCTGTTTCGGCTCCAGCCTGGCAGGGATAGGTTTCGGGTTTAGGGTTTAGGGCTTAGGGTTTCGACTCACACACTCGCAAAAGCAGGCATGGCAATAAGTGTCCGACATTAGGGTTTAGGGTTTTTGGGTTTAGGGTTAGTGTAGGATTTAGGGGGTTTACGGGTCTAGTCTAGGGTTTAGCGATTTAGGGTTTCGAGTGTAGTACGGATTCAGAATCTTAGGGGCCTTGGGGCTTATGGGGCTTCAGAGGCCTGAACAGGATCTGAAAGGTTTCAAAGGCTTTCAGGTTCTTAGGGTGGTGGAGATGCTTGGCTGGAAAAGAATTAAGGTCCTGATAACAAGCATCAGTCTATACCATCAGTCTATACATACATACATATATATATATATATATATCTGTGTGTGTGTGGTGTGTGCGTATGTGTATATAAAGAAATATGTATACATATATATATATATATATTATGTGTATATATATGTATATGTATATCTATATCTATATATATATAGAGAGAGAGAGAGAGTGACTGGAACGTAAAGCAACGCGCAGAAGAATAAGGAGACTGACTGAAAGGCATAGCAAGGGTCGCGCAGCGCAGCAGCGTGTCGGTTAACCGCATCACTGCCACATTGGTGGCCCCGAAACCCTAAAAAAGCGAAACCCCTTTCGCACAGACTTGCACATGCCCGCCTAGTTCGCAGAGCTGCCAAACCAGACCCCTAAACCCGGAGTGCTGATGATTTGTACGCTTTCGGCTGCAGCTCCTGCATGAGGGCCCGGACCAAAGGCCCGGGCCTCAATGACACTGAAACTATAGCTAACCTGCAAAACGGATCATATCAGTGGCTTTTCTTCTGTCGGTTCTTTTCCTCCCTGTTACAGCCATACTGCCAAGTCGGCTGAACCTTCGTTCGGGGCTGATGGCCAACCAACAAAACCCAAGATCCACCAAAGGGGCTTGGGGTTTAGGCTGGGAACTTTATGCAAACTGCAGAAAGAATCACATCAGGCCCCACGATTTCGGGACTATCATTGAAGACCACGCTATGATATACTCGCGAGCCAACGGGTCCGTAAGTATCGGGGCCCGAATAGCTAAAATATAGGGGGAGTCATAGTGTTTTTGTAGGGCTTCACACGGTGACAGGGGGGGAAACCAAAGAAAGATATTCTCACCAACTGTTCCGACTAGTATACCCTAAAATATTATACTCTACTTTATTAGATTACATATATTGTCTCAATATGTACACTATTTCATCTTCTACTAGATAAAAACTATATTGCTGTTGTACACTACATTGTGTTATGTTGCGTTATGTCATTATGCTATGTTGTACTGTAATATATAATATTGTTTTGTATGGTAGTCTATAATTTAACATCGAGTTAAATTGTTAATGCTGATATTATACACACACACACATATATATATATATAATCTTGCACTATACTGGCCAGTAAATTATACCATTATATTCAACATTCTCCGGTGCAAGCTCGCCTAAGCTCGGGCCGCGGAGGCTCCTCCGACTCCTTGGCAAGGAGAGCTCTGGTACGGTTTAGGGTTTTTTGCCTCCTACCTAGCAAGGACGTGCCCGCATTGCAGGGTGGTTAGTCGGATTAGAGTTTAGGGTTTAGGGGTTTAGGGTTTAAGGCTGTGGGTTCACGGTTCGGGAGGCTCAGGAGGCTTAAGGACTGCTAATTGCATTATGAGGCTTGCTAAAAGGCTACTTGTTTTCAGGCGATTTGTCCACCTTGCTTTAGGGTCAAAAGTTGGGTGTTTAGGGGTCATGTCTTCTCTGTTTCTTTAGGAGTTCATGCTTTAGGGTTGAAAAGTGCTGCTGGATTTCGATAGGGTTTCCGGGATTTGGGGGCTCGGGCATTCCCGGTTGAGGCGGTATTATGGGACTGCTGAATATCTGAATATCTTTGTTTTGCGCTTCCTGTTGTAAACCCTCGGACCATTGCTAGGCGAAGGCCCCTCAGGACGGATGTAGTTTCCCGATGATCGGAAGTGCGGCTTTCGGGCGTGACATCGGGGAACGGAAAATATAATACTTCTTTGGGGTCAACCTTTCGAGCAGATTAGGCCTACTTAGGCTTCGGTGTCAGCGTGCCGGCCGAAACAGTGTGGTATGCTCGTTGGGACAAGAGCATCAGTCAAGCTCCAGCTTGCCAAGCCCTGCCAAGTTTCGGGTGACAGTCTTGATCCTGCCTTAATCTCCACACCTAGTCTGCCCAATGTCTACACCTTACACACTACGTTGAACAAATCCTATTTATCTTACACCGGCCAAGTCTTGGACGTGTGTCGAACCCCTGCATCAATTTCCGACCCTGGCTGAGATCTCAGGATTTCGACTATCTTAGGATGTAGGGTTCCGGGCTTACCGAGGGCAGACTGGACTCACAGCGGTCATTGACCAAAGTCCTCTCAACCCATCGGAAAAGCGATAATGGGGCGCTCCTTTATGATTATAGTAACAAATATAATAGAATATACCCCAAAACCCTATGACCCCTCTTTTAAAGGAAGCCATGGTGCTACTTTTTCTACCGGCAAAGTAGTTTGCAACACTGCCGCCGGTTCCGGGAGGCTGTAAAGATCCTCTGGAGTTTCCTGCCACGGCGATGCCCGGAGGGCACGGGGTCTAGTGTCTACGGCTTAGGCCCCGCTTCGGGGATCCGTCCTCACATCAGCATAATGTAGGGGCCTTAATAATTAGAATAGGGTTTTGGGGTCCATTATACTAAAATTGTGGTGAACCCCGAAAATAATATAGGTAATCATTTAGGCGCTGACAATAGGATTGCTTCAAAAGGCATTCTGAGGCAAGTGCTGCTGAACCTTCCGGGTATGATTTCAAGCTTATGGCCATATGCACAGAGTGCAATCTGGTCGTACAGCATCGCATGCAAGCAAGACATGGGAAGGCAGCCCGTCTCTCCTCATCTTTCTCTGAAATCGTGTACCGGTTAGAATAAGGTCGAGGTTTTGGGGCTTAGGGCTTCGGCGCATCAGGTTCGGAGATTCAGTAAACAGACAGCACGCGGAATGCTGTCTGACATGCAATTACTGGGTTTAGGGTTCAGCGAATACGTGCCACACGCGAAGACTACTGCCGCTCACCACTATGTGTACACATGTTGTCGAGAAGACGTCGTCAGTGCAACAATAGCCATTCAATAGCCCAATCATGCGGGGATCCGTCCTCACATCAGCATAATGTAGGGGCCTTAATAATTAGAATAGGGTTTTGGGGTCCATTATACTAAAATTATAGGATTGCTTCAAAAGGCATCCTCAAGCAAGTACCCCGGACCATCCTGCAACGCAACCGGGTCGTTGCTGCGGTACTCTGAGCCACGCCAGTCCGGCACCTCAGGATAGGGTGTAGTAGGTCTACCGTTGTGGCCTTTTTGCTTCCACTCAGGAATTGCTTATGTTTACTGCGTTGTGCTTTCTCAGGCAGGCGGAGCTTTGCATCGGAATGGCACCTCGTATCGAGTCTAGTGTTCAACGGAGCATAGGTTTGCACCGTCATTGTCGGAGCGAAGGCTCCATGACCGCAACTGTCACAAACGGTCTGCCACGCGCAGCCGGAAAGCAGGCCAGTTCCTAATGCCAGGACGGTGTGAAGCACACAGTAATATAGGGGCCTGAATAATTATCTATACTATTTTGGGTTTTCCTTATTATACTTGTAGTATAATGCGCCCCAAAACCTTATTCTAACTATTAGGGCCCCTTATATTATGTTGGAAGCGCCCGACACCAGTCCAAAGCTTCAACCCCCGGAGGAACCCAAAGTTCCGCTGCGCGTCGCAGCTTCCGGGCGCCTGAAGGATGCGACTCCGAAGTCTATAGGGTTTAGGGTTTAGGGTTTAGGGTATAGTCTTATCCTTGAAGCCCAGTACCCTGGCCCAAAAAAGCTTAAACTTTTCTTTTAGTAGGGGGTTTAATGTACCAAAAAGTTTAAAGTGTACCTACTGGGCTCCTAAGTTATCGAAGACCTCCAGGGTC